TTGATTTGAGCTGGAGCTCGTTCCTTAATTTCTAAAGCTTCTAACCTTCGCAGAATTGTCGCCATCTTTTCTTCAAAAGTAATGTTTGACTCTAAGGAAAGACCACAAGATTTAGATTGGGGAACTGATGAAACCCTATCATCGTACTGTTCCCATTGCATTGTTTTTTCAGAAAGACTCTCCAAAAACTCCCAAGCTTCATCAGCATTTTTCCTCATAAAATCTCTGTGGCACATTGATTCTAAGGAAGTTTTTGCAAAATAATCTAATCCCTCATAAATTATTTGGCACAATCGCCATTTCTCTAAACCGTGATGAGGACATTGGATAAGAAGATCTTTAAATCGGTCAAAATACTTCCAAAAAGGTTCTCCCGGGATAATTTTAAAGTTTTGAATGTTGTTCCTAAGCTTTACCGTTTTATGAATAGGAAAAATTTTCTTAAGAAAAACGGTGATAAATTCATCCCAAGTTAAGATGGAATTTGTTGGTAAGCTGTACAGCTATTTTTTAGCTTTATCCTTAAGAGCAAATGGAATAAATCTAAGCTTAACCACATCTTCATTTAATTCTCTCATTTTAATCATAATACACACTTCCTTAAATTCCGAAATAAAAATATATGCGTCTTCTGCTTCATTACCAAAGAATTTGGGAAGCATGTTTATGTATTGCGGTCTAAGCTTAAATTTTATTCCATTTGTTTCGGAAAGCCTAATGCATGAGGGGATTGCATTCCCAATGGGATAGCACATATTATGAAGAACGGGTGGATTAGGATGCTCCATTTCTATGATTGGTTCAAAGCGAATTAATCGACGTGTATTATCCCTAATCCACTGCTGCATACACCAAAATATTTTTTTAATTTTTTTAATTTTTTTTAAAAAAAATTAGTTTTTTTATGAGAAGAAAAGGATAAAGAAAAATCTTAACTAAAACAAATCAAAATAATCACTTTTCAATCACTCTAATTCTAGGGTTTAGCCTAATTCACTAGACCAGCTCCTAACCAAAAACTCCTACAGTGAAAAGATAAAAGTTTTACCCAGGTAGTTAGCCAGGTAAGGATAGTACTAGAGGGTGATCAGAGATCAATTAAGTACCCCGTTCCTTACGGAGCGCTTTACGCAACCCCTAAACATTGCCTTAGACACCAACTAATGTAAGAAAACTTAAACCGGTTCACTTAAGGATTTCTTGTTCCTTATTGAGCTCGAATCCTTAGGGGCCAACGTCTAATGAGTTTTATTAGGCTTGGGTGGTGTAGTAAGGAATTAGTGATTTTTGGGCTAAGGGAAGGGTGATGAAATCCCTTACCTTATCTTGATTATGGGTTTTTGCCCTTAAAAATATTTTTAAGTGTGTGCCAAATCAAGATACTCAAATCACTTGGTGAATTCCTACTATCAATATGAAATGCAACCCTATGAATTAAAAGCAACTAAAAAGGATGGAAAAGAAAAATCTTTTTTTTAATTAGGGTTAACAATCAAACAAATGAGAAGAGGGAATTTGTTTGAATTTATTATCTTGTTAGTAAATGTCAAAGTGGAGGATGAATTTTATTATGGTTAACAAAAAATAAAATCCTTTCTTTTTTTTAAGCCCTAATTGTCTCTAATTGTGAAGAAGTAGCTAAAGGGTGAAATTAAAAACTAGAAAAAGGACTTACCCGAAAATAATTCATCAAATCCTAGCTCTCCAATCCGCGATCTTCAAGCTCCAAGCGTTTCCTTCACAAAAAACACACAAGTTAAAGAACCAAAATAATTAAAACCTACTTAAGCACCTTCCCCGGCAACGGCGTCAAAAACTTGATGTGGCATAAACATGTACCAAAAAGGTTGCAAGTGCACAACCGTGTCAAGTTATAGTATTTAAGATATCGATCCCACGAGGAAGGTGTTTTGTAGGAGAAAATACAAAATCGGTTCTTATGTTGTGTGCGTGACAAATAAGATTGGTGAGTGATTATGATTGTGAAGAGATTGAAAGAGTGAAAGTGGTGTGTAAGTAGGTGCAAAGTGTAAGTGAGAGAGTGCTCATTTAAAATACTGTAAAACAGATTTTTTGGCGGTTTCTCCTTGGTGCACGTTAGCAGGCGATTTTTTGCCTGCTAACTTGCGCCCCCGCCTGGATTTGAGATGGCAAAAACCAAAAAGAAAAAGGGAAAAAAATCATGGAAATTAGTTTGAGATCTTCAAATTCAAGCTTGATTACTCCTGTGAATCCTGATGATTCCGATTTTGCTGAAGATGGATATGTCTCATCTGAATCGGAGCTGATGGGATCTACGGGACCTAGGGGTGAGAAAAAGAAGATTCTAATGGCGGATCTTCTGAATTCTGTTCCTGATGTTCTTGATTCAGGAAGGGGAGTAAGAACGATAAAATCTATGGAGGAGTTGTCTAAATCACAAGGATCTGCTCAGAGGCTTGCTTCCCTGACCTATCTTGATTCAAGAATGGGAGAAAGAACGATGAAGGCCATGGCGGAGATGTCACAAGGATCTTCCCAGAGGTTTGCTTCCCTGCCCTGTAAATCAATACTTTCTTCTAAATGTTTAAAGAATTTGAGTGGATCTTGGGCTGATGATGAAGTCTTGGAGGTAGAATCTTTGAATTCACGTACTTTGAATGAAAAAGAAGACTCTGATATTTTGAATCCTGCTGTGGATTTGACTGAATTGAGGAATCTTGATAAGGATAGTTCTAAAGAAAATGAAAAATGATGATTTCCCTCCTTTAAATCCTTCACAGTCTGAGCAATTTCTGGATCCTGTTAAAAATGAGAAAAAGAGCTGGATCAGTTTCTTTGCTGATAATAGAAAGATAAGTAATGGCATGGCTTTGGATTTTATTCCCCCTAACTCTAAAGATTCTGTAATTTTTGAAGAAGAGGAATGGAAAGAAGGAGAATCCATATGGAAATTATCTCTCATTGGTCAGGTATTAGGGATTAATGCCAAATTTAAGGATATGGAAAATTTCATCAAGAAAGCTTGGTCTCCCCTGGCTAATCCAGAAATTCTTCTTCTTAAGTCAGGACTTTTCCTGTTCAGATTTAATTCCAAGGAAGAAATGAATGATATTATGGAAAATGGCCCTTGGTTCTTTGGATCAAGACCAATTCTCCTTAAATACTGGACAATCGAAGAAGAAATAGAAAAGAGTTTTGAAAATAACTATCCCATATGGATTCAGCTGCCAGGATTAAGGTTGAACTTGTGGAATGCTAAGTGTTTGAGCAAAATAGCAAGTGTAATCGGTAAACCAATAGCCACAGATAAGCTCACTGCCAATAGACAGAGGCTATCATATGCTAGGGTGCTTGTGGAAGTGAAAATGCCTTCAACATTGCCAGATCATATTTCGATACAAGGGCCGAATGGCAAGATGATTAATCAAAGAGTGCATTATGAATGGAAGCCTAAATGGTGTGATTATTGTAAACAATTGGGACATGATGCTAAGTCTTGTAGAAAACAGGTCAGAACTCAGAAATGGGTTCCAAAAAATCCTGGAACAAAGGAAAATGTTCAGGGGGACCTAAATACTTTGGCAAATGCAGGCTCTAAAAATCCTGTGAATACTGTTTTCATGAAGTCTGTTCATGATAAGGACCATATCTCTAAGGGGTCAAACCAATCTGAGTTGAAGCAATCTGAAAAGATTCCTGTGAATACTCAAAATGTGCCCAATGTGCACATAGCTGGGAAATGTTCTGAATATATTGATAATCAAATGCAAGAAGGTCAAATAGAGATAGAAGGATTATCTTTATTCTCAATTGAAGGAAATCCTGTTCATGTTGTGCATAGTTCACAGACTAAAAAACATGTGCATGTTGTGCATGTTTCAGGAGCTAACACTGAAAAAAGAGAAGAAGTACATCCTGAGGTTTCATGGACACAAATACAAAAGGGAAGGAATAATAGCAGTCTCATCTCTAGTAACTCTTTCTCTTCTTTGGCAGCAAAAATAAGTGATTTGGATCCCTCCACATTGGACAGAGGGAGTAAAGCTAGATTGAAATGAATTTCTCCTTTTGGAATGTAAGGGGACTAAATAAATCCCCTAAGCAGCATCTGACTAAACAGCATATTTTTCAGTTTCATCTTTCTTTCATTGCTTTACTTGAAACAAAAATTAAGGAGGCTAACATACCAGCAGTAGCAAAGAAGATTGCTGGTAAATGGAAATGGATTTCTAATGCACCAAATAATGGCAAAGCCAGGATTTTACTTCTATGGGATCCTGACATTCTTAATATCCAAATTGATCACATTTCTTCACAGCATATTACTTGTACTGTTAAGTCTGTGGATGGTAGGGTAGACTGCATTATTTCTTCTGTATATGGTTCCAACCATCAGGGCAGTAGGAGAGAATTATGGACAGAACTTCTTCAAATCAAGCAAACTGCTGGGAATTCTTCATGGCTTCTCTGTGGAGATTTCAATACTATGATAAATGATGAAGAAAAAATTGGAGGTGTAACTCTCACTGATACAGACACAAAAGATTTCAGGTCTTTCATTGAGGATTGCCAGCTTTTACATATGAAAACTCTAGGTAATTTTTTTACTTGGAGTAATAAGCAAGATCAAGATACTAGGGTCTGGTGCAGATTGGACAGAGCCCTAGTGAATGAAGCCTGGATTCAAAGGCATATTTCTAGTCATGTTGAATTCTTATCTCCAAATTTTTCAGATCACTCACCTGCTTTGGTCTCAGTTTATGAAGAGAAAGATAGAGGAAAAAAGCCATTTAAGTTTTTTTAAATGTGGACAACTCATGACAATTACTTGCCTACAGTGAATTCAATATGGCAAACTCAGATAGTTGGTTTCAGAATGTATTCAGTCATATCTAAACTTAAACTTCTAAGGAGTGCTCTAAAGGAACTCAACAGGAAGCATTATGCAAATATCAGTGAACAGGTTTTAAGAGCTCAACATGCTTTGGAAGATACTCAAAAAAAATTACAGGATGACCCTTTTAATTCTGCTCTTATATGCCAAGAAAAAAGTTGCTTGTCTACTTATAGTAAACTTTTGAATTGTGAGCTATCTTTCTATCAACAAAAAGCAAGAATTCAATGGAGTATCAAGGGGGACAGATGCACAAGCTACTTCCACTCAGTAATCAAAGCTAACAGACACCAGAATAGAGTGCTAATTCTCAGTAATAGCAGGGGAGAAAGAATCACTGAAAGTAAGGATATTGCTAATGAGCTCATCAACTACTTCAAACGCCTCATGGGTACTGCAGTTCAAACAATAGCTCCAGACATCAGGGTCATAAAAAATGGTCCATGTTTGGATGAAAAACACATCAGGGATCTTGAAGTACCTATAACAAAAGAAGAAATCAAGAGAACAATATTCTCTATGGCTGATAATAAATCACCAGGCCCAGATGGTTACGGAGCATCTTTTTTCAAGTCAGCCTGGTCAGTTATAGGGGATGAATTAACTTTAGCTATTGAGGAATTCTTCTCTACTGGAAAGTTACTTGGTACAGTCAATTCTACCTCAATCACCTTGATTCCCAAGGTACAATGTCCAAATACCCCATCTGATTTCAGGCCAATTTCATGTTGCAATTGTATCTATAAAGTCATTTCAAAGATTCTTGCAAATAGGTTACAATCAGTCATGGGATATCTCATAAATGAAGCTCAAAGTGCCTTTGTAAAGGGTAGGCATATTACAAATAATGTTCTGTTGGCTCATGAATTGGTTAAACACTATAATAGGAAGCACATCTCCCCTAGAGCCATGATTAACATTGACATAAAGAAAGCCTTTGACACAGTTAGTTGGGATTTTATTAAAGAAATTCTTCAAGGTTTGGGGTTTCCAACTGTGATAGTTGACAGAATAATGACATGCATCTCAACTCCCAAGTATTCCATCTCTCTCAATGGGTCTTTACATGGATATTTCAAGGGTGAAAGAGGGTTACGGCAAGGAGATCCCCTCTCCCCATATCTGTTTATTTTGGCTATGGAATATCTTACAAGAAGTCTGGATTTTCTGAATCATGACAGGGATTTCAAATATCATCCTAAGTGTGGAAAGCAAAAAATAACTCATCTAATCTTTGCGGATGACTTATTACTCTTTTGCAAAGGAGATCTTCTTTCTATTCAAAAAATTCACCAATGTATCACAAGTTTCAGTCAGGTATCAGGTCTGGAGGCTAATCCTAGCAAGAGTGCAATTTTTTATGGTGGAGTTGAAGATTCTGTGAAGGCAACAATTCAAAATTACCTGGGCTTTTCTGAAGGCAATATGCCTATCAAATATCTAGGAATGCCACTTGTGAGCAGCAGGCTAACAGCTCTTGATTGCAATCCCCTTCTCAACAAAGTATCCAGTCAACTTCAGAATTATTTGAAGGCTAAAAAGCTTTCATATGCAGGCAGATTGCAAGTAATAAAAAGTGTTATTTTGGGCATTCAAATATATTGGACTTCTTGCTTTGTTCTCCCAGCTAAAGTCCTCAAAAAAGTTGATGAGCTCTGTAGAAGTTTCCTATGGGGAAAAATGATCATTCTACCAAACCTGCACTGGTGTCTTGGGACAGAGTTTGTTCAAAAAAAACACATGGAGGCCTTGGCATCTTCTCAGCTACAATCTGGAACATGGCAGCTGCTTTGAAGATAATTTGGGACATACACACAAATAAGGAATTGCTATGGATCAAATGGATACATGGTACATACCTTAAACACTTGAATATATGGCAAGTGAATATGAAAAATGGAGATTCATGGGTATGGAAATAGCTCCTAAAAGTCAGAAATAAAGCAATTGGTCACTGTAATGGTGTAGAGAATTTACAAAATCTAATGCTATCTTGCTGCAGTAACTCAAAGATCAAATTATCAGACCTGTATCATGCTCTGTCCTCTGCTGAAAACAAGGTGCCATGGTGCTCAACTATCTGGGGAGGTGTTAATTATCCAAAACATTCTGTTATATCTTGGTTAGCTGTCCAAGACAGGCTTCTAACTCAAGACAAACTGATTAGGAGAGGGTTAATTCAAACAAATCAGTGTTTCCTTTGCTCAGGAGCTGAAGCTGAAAGTAGGAACCACTTATTTTTTAATTGCAAATTCTCTAAAGAGGTATGGAATAACATAATGGGATGGCTTTGCTTCAAGTGGAGAAGCTGTGATTGGAATCAGGTGCTAAACTGGTATTGTTTCAGGTTGCGGGGAGGAAGATTCAAACATAATATCAAAAGACTGGCATTAACAGCATCAATTTATAGCATATGGATGGAGCGCAATGGAAGACTTTTCAATCAAAAATCAAGGACAGTTGATCAGTTAGTTAAACTGATTAAAGAGGTTATGATGATTGCAATTATTAACAGTGACACAGATTCTGAAAGCAAGAAATGGATGCAGCAGTCACTAATTTTTACAGGCAACAGTGTATAAAAACAGGGAGTTTTGCTCCCCCTATTGGGTAGTTTGGTCAAGTTGTGTAGTAGAGCCCTACAGACTAGTTGAAAGTATTTTGTTTTGATATCTCAATTTGAGATTCTTGATGTACATATATTCTTCATTTTGGTGATGAATAAAAAATTTTCATTTAAAAAAAAAAATAAAAAAAAAAGTGTAAGTGAGAGTGGGTGTGATAAAGAATGAGTGTGATCAATAAGGCAAGAAGGATAAAAAGAATAAAATCAAGAAACAAATGAAAAATCAAAATTCTAGAATAAAAGAAAATGTAAGAAATTGAAGATGGTGGATTCAATTATAGATATGGGTAATCTAAAATTGAACCCACTTCTTAGAAAAGGGTGATTCCCTAGAGGGTTCTAGCTTAAAGGCAAATCAAACAAAATAAAAATAAACAAAAAGAAAAACTAAACCCAAAAGGGTTCTAGCCTCAAGGTGAATAGTATAAAAAATTAAAATCTAACTACAAAATAAATTACAACATCTAAACTACAAAATAAAATTATAAGAATTAAATACAAAAAAATAAATCTACTCTATAAGCATAAAATAAATCTAAGGCAAGAGGGTTCTAGCCTCTTGGCTATTTAACAAGAAAATAAAATCTAACTACAAGCATAGAAATAAATCTAAACTAATAAGCAATAAAAGAGAAAAAGAAAAAAATGCAAACCTTCAAATAATTCTCCATCTTCATCTTCATCTTCATCATCCAACAAAGAGAAGAAGGGAAAAATTTAAAGTGTTAAAAAAATTATTATTATTAATTGCAACAAAAAGTTATAATTTTGGAAGGCCTTCTCAATTAAGAGTAGCCCTCCTCTCCAAAAGGAGTTACAAAAATTTTTACACCATTAACCCCCTCACTCTCTACCCCTATTTATAGTAATTTTCATTGAATATGAGCCATTGGATTTGTCTTGAGCCCCAAGCAACAATTTCCACCTTTGAATTTGGTTTTTGTTCTTCTCTAGCTCAAACATAGGAGGCCCAATTGATTTATTTGATTTTCAAAAGAAAATCAAAATCCAATCAAGTCCGGTCCAATTCAAATGATTTTCAAAATTAAATCAAGAGCAGTTGGTCCATGAAGAATTCAAGAATGATTGATGGCCCATTCAATTATCTACAACAACTAAAGAAAATATGAGCCAAGTCCGGCTCATGAGAGTTCTGCAGCAATCAAAGAAAATATGAGCCATTCATGTGATTTTCCAATGCAAATCTCCAAGTCCGGCCCATGCAATCCACATTTCATTTGAGAAAATCAACAACCGGCCCATCTTGCATCCATGAAGAAAATTCTGCAGCAAACAAGATTAAAAACTAAGTCCGGTCCACTTGATCTTGAAAATGAAAATTTAAATCTCCACTCAAAGCTGCAGCAGCAAGTCCGGTTTCCCAATTCAAATCCAGCAGCAACCACCATCTTCATGTTTCAATTGATTCCGGCCCATGGAAGAAAATTAAACTGCAGCAACCCAAAGTCAAGAGCACTGGTCCATGAAGTTTGCAGGCCCATGAAGTTTCATTTCTTTGAGAAAGAAAATGAACATAGCGGGTCCGGTCCACTTAAATTTCTTGTGATTGAAATTCAAAACTGCAGCAATCAATATGTATTTGAATTTTGAAGTCCGGTCCACTTTCACACAATAAATCCCAAACCTTGAGAATAAAGAGGATTTGTGCTGGCTTATTTTTGTGGCTTGTGCATTGTAACATGATATCTTGGAGATCATTTTCTTCACTTGCTCTTTGGGCTTCAATCATTTTCCTCTTTTAAGCTTTTGCTTCATGGGCTTCTAAAATGCTACAAAATAGAGAAGAGAGATTTTGAGGGGTTTTTATATTTAATAATATTTATTTATATTTATGTGCAAACTAAGCTAACAACAATTATTAATTGTATATTTATTCACGTAAAATAGATAATGAGGGTATAAAATTGTAATAAAATATGATTATCAGCTGCTGCCTCTGTGGGTTCTACTGTTGCTGCCTCGGAGGGGGACGCTTGACATTCCAAGCTGGAGCTGCTGGTGTCCTGCTCTGAATCACGTGTGAGTCTTCAGGTTCCTTATGCACACTCTCAATCTCGCGATCTACATCTAGTACTGGATCATGTGTCGCCAAAGCTCTACCTGTCAGAACCATCCTAATGTACTTGTCCAGACCCTTCTGAATCTGATGCCTCCTAATCGTAGGGTCTGTAACCAAGTGGTGAGCATATCTGGTCAAAGAAGAAAACTCGGCCTCGTACTCATCAACTGTTCACCCTCCTTTCTTAAGCTCAACAAATCTACGTAGGAATTCATCCTGAGCTGTCTCAGGAAAATATTTCCTATTGAAGCACTCGGTGAACGTCTCCCACAGGATGGGCCTACCCAGATGAGTCTTCTCAGTTACCCACTATATCCGAGTGGTATCGGTGAGCTGAATGTCCATAAGGTCTACCCACTTTGCATGGGCAATACGGGTCATCGTGAGAATAGTCTCAATGACCTTGAGAAACTCATCTGCTGCTAAAGGTCCCTCGGCACCAGAAAAGGAAGGAGACTGCATATATCGAAACTCTCTAACTCCAGACTCTACGTGAGGAAGAGGCTGGTGTTGAGGCTCCCTGTGCAGCTGCCCAGCCAGATGCTACTGATTGGTGACCAATCCCTGAATCATCACCAGAAGTTGGTTTGGATCCACTTCGGGCTGCGGGGCACTGCTACTAGACGGGTTACTAAAACCCCGAGTACCTACCATGGATCAAAGAACTAGGGTTAAAATCAAAACAATATATTAGAAAATAGGAGCTAAAACATAGTTATTAAAATAATAGTATAAGAACTTAATTGTAGTCTTACGGATGAAATATGATATGTATCTAAATTGTCTACTATATTCTTACTAGTGAGGACTCGGGACCGGGACCTGCATGGGCCACCACTAAAACCTATCATGCCCCGCTTCCCAAAATACCCAGGAATCGGAATGAGAACAAGTCCCTGACGTATTAGATTGAGAAGAAATATACATTTTTTCTTTTTCTTTTCTTCTCAATCTGATACGCTAAGTGTCAAATACATAAATCTCAATCACAGATCCCTGATCACAATAGCAAAAATATAAAGACGATCCAGAATAAGAAATAAACATATCATCCATAGTAAATCATCCCAGACATAAAAATATGGGTCAAACATACCCTTATTACAAAAAAAACCAACTAGGAATAAAAATACATAGTCTATGTTAAAAGAAAATACTGATAAAATAACTAAATCTATCATCAAACTAAGGACAATACTATGAAGAGTTCTAATGTTTATCAGCTACTACAGAAAAGAAAAACATGTCTAGGCTTCAGTTTGTTCTTCCACTCCATCGGAAGGACATTTCGGCTGGGCATACACCGGCTTGGCTATATCATCGAACTGAACCTATTCATCTCCTAAGTCTGACGCACACCAGAGAAAACATATGTACGTCAGTGTGCATGGCACACAACAAGATTTTACATGAACAAATAAAACGGTCTAACGACCCATGCTATGACAATAATAATACTAACAAGAAAGACAATGATACATGCAACTGGAAATCTAATGGTAACATACAACTATGTGAATACAGTAACTGGGTCGAATTCTAACCAACCTAAAGCTCAGTGGTCCATATCTCACACAGAGTCAACACTCTTGTCATCGGATAACTGGCTATTTACAAATCACCTAAGTGCATCCAATCCTGCTACACATGCGGCCAAGGGACTACACGTAAACCGTTTTCTGCTTGGTCCGAACTCAAGCAAAGTTCGGGTGATGAAACCATTCCATTGACTAAAGTGATGTACACACTTCACTTTAGTCCTACAAACCAACCCCAGTAGCGATACCAACCACTGGTGTGAGCCTGAAAGATACATCAATAGTCTAATTCGGTCACATGAACACCGACTTCCCTATCCCAACTCTTCTTATTTTCTAAGTTAATCATAATCCTCATTGAGAACTCAGGTTCGCCGCCTAACCAGTCAACACACTCACACATGTCATTAAGTCTATTCATGACGCACAAAGCTACTAAATCATGAACTACTAAGGTTCTCAATACATCAACAGATCATGAATATAGTATGGCATGTTAAACATGATTAAGCAGTTTTATGAAGCAGAAATGAGAACTATAATGAACATGAAATGCATAAACAAATACTATAGCATGAATGCAATACATGAGGGGGCTTCATTATTATCTTACCACTGGGATGTTCGTACTTCTCATCCAAATCATCCGTATTTACGTATTCTCTAATATAATAATGCGGTAAAAAGAAAAACTAGAAACTGATGTCGTTTTGCACATGAAATGTCGCGCTCTACGACGATCAGTCATACTATCACAAATAATACTATTCTTTTTACAAAATTAATATTTAAAACTATTTCTCATTATAACTAAATAAAAATAAAAATATTTGTGTAATATAAATATATTAATTCCTTTCTGCATGAAAGGTAATATTTTCCTATTTTATAAATTTCCCTTAATTAATTTCTTTTCGATAAAATTAAAATTTCATAATTCTAATTTTAACACATAACTTGTCATTTCATGTCCGCACTTTCTTAAAAATACGATTAATAACATTATTAATCTAATTTTCACCGTGCGCTCGCAATCATCATTCCACACAGATATTCATAATGCATATAAACCACAATAATAATTTAACTACATGTATTAATCATATTAACAACAATATTAACCACAAAATAATTTATCTACATCTAATCATCATAATAACATGATATTAGCCATTAATTAAGAAACAAGGTAAACACGAGACGCAGATCAGATC